ACAAAACAACTTGATCGGTAAGCAGATGAATTATTCTGGATGTGTGAAGTTGGAATACTTCCAGCTGTACTATAGTAAAATGTAATTGAAAAGATCTTTATCTTCGGCTTTAAAATCTGTTTCGTATATGTTTATTTGTGAACCGCATAATACTTCATCAAATATTTTCTAACTTCCTTTTTTACAGCCTATTAACATTCCTAAACCCGATTCCATTAGGTATAAAATCACTTATATATTTTTTAATAGAAACAACTGTATGAAAATGTGTAAAAGACTAGTTACAATAATTATATCTAATAAATGTTAAAAGCATTACAGAGTATTGGAAATACTATGAGCAAAAATAATAATACTATTGAGTAACGTTATGAAGTGTATGGCATATCTGTGAAGAACTTCAAAAATTCTTTGAGAGTTAGGGGATATCTAAAGGCTGTTTAACTGACCCATTTATCATTAGACCTTTGCATAATTTGACACCAGAATATCAGTGATATTCTATGTGTAGATGTACTAATAGTGGTGGATTGATCAAACAGACATAAAAGTTTGTATAACAGTCTGTATAACTGATAAAAAAGATAAAGTTACCAGGACATCCGAACCTAGATTTTATGCTCTTCGACACTCGTCAGCAAGGTGTACCTGTAATATTGGGGGAACTGATGATTTCGGGTGGATTTGACAGAGGAATTGCCACTGAGATTTTGGGGCCACAGATGACCTTCTTCTGGACTGAGAGTTGTTTACAACTGATTGATCCCTGAGTAGTGAGCAATGTCATGTATGTCAAGCTCTTCTTAGCGCTGATTTAATTGTATCAACCTAAATCCAGGGTGTTTTGGTGATTATCTCAAACCGCCATCTCACGTCTTACCGTGTTACACGTGAAGATGAGTCATTTCGACTAGCGGCCACAGTGCAACTTTGAGTGATGGAATTTGATCAACACCAAGACGAACTTGATGTATATTACACTGATCACTACTCAGGGATCAATCAGCTGTAAAAATATTTCACAAAAATCATTTTCACTTCATCAGCTGCCTACTATATGTGCATGTATTACTCCAACAATTTTCCAACGTTATCTTCCGTTATCCACTTGAAGTGAATTTGGATTAAAACAGAGAAAAATTGATCTTAAAATAGAGAGATCTTAACTGAAGAATAACGTTCATTACCATTACTTATCCATAAATTTCAAAATATTTATGAAATAATACTTGATAGTTGTAAACTAAATTGCAATTATTAATATTTAAGTTATACTTTTTAATTTAAACAATAGTGCAGATGGATTCACTCTTTATCATTCCTTAGATTTTTAATTTTATAGTTGTCTTATGCTTCATTATTCCAAGAATTTATTTTTTTGTCAAATCATATTGTATATTTCATGCAGTTGGTTTCACTTACGAACTTGAATGAAACCAAAATATTAATTTAGGCTGCCTCAATCGTTGCTTTGACTTTGTTCATATTGCATATGCCTAATCTTCTCTACTATCAACGACACCGTTACTACTTCTAATACTCTGGGTTTCGCTTTAATAGTTTTATATCGCCATGTCAGCATGTGTCAACTTAAACCGATCACATATATACCAGAGTATAGGTTTATTACTGGTTGACTGACTTTCCTTACATATTAAAGTAATATCTATTGATTTGTTTCTTCTTTATAATTAGCACTCTTAGTACATTATCAGTAATAGTTTTCAGGAATTTGGGATGAAACTCATATTTTATTTAACTATCATTGATGAACTCTCACGGTATAGAATGTTTTTATTGCATCATGTAGATTACCATACGATCTGCTGAAAAGCTGATTAATATAAAATAACCAAAATGTTGATCAAACACTATAGAATTTAGTTATTTTATCTTGTAAGCAGAGCATAAGATTACATTTGTTATGATTAGTTGAAAATATCAATCCTATCATCCATTATTTTAATGAACCAGTGATGTAATTATATGTTTACGGTCTTAAGCATCAGTTGTTCAACGAATGATACGTCATGTTGTGGCCGGATATATCTTTGTACTTGAACAGAAAAATCGATGACTCAAATAAGGACATCAAGATAGTAGACGAGGATATATATGACAGCCAAAATAATTTATGATTTAATTACAATCAGACTAACGACCAGATATGAATAAACTAAACTTATCTTTAGTTAATTAATCAATTTACGGTGTAAACACACATTTACAATATCATACAATGAAGCATCTATAACGTACAGGTATAACCAATTGACTATGGTTATAATTACCCCTTCTTTACATGTAATACATGTCACAGACAATTCTGAAAAAATCAATTCCATGTGTTACTCACACTCTAGTCAATTAATTCCTTGCTTACCATAGCACATTCTAACATGTATGTACTTCATTGGTGGATCTAATGAGGTTATTGTATAACAAAATTTTTAAAAATAATATTCGTTATCAGATTAGAGTTGTGAAGATTGTTGGGTTTTTATTGAGATCATAAACTGATTGATGCTTACTGCTGCGGAGTCTCATACAGGGGTGAAACGACCATTAAGTGCTTTCAGGTTTTCAATGGTGGTCTATCAGTGACTGGTTCATGATCTCAATAAAAAACTTTCATTATGACTTGACATCAAAAGTAAAACCGAACGAATGTAAGAAAACAGCAATTTTGAAATTCTTGATCTCTGCTCGCTTGTGACCAAGTTTAGATTAGTGAAACTAAATTAGGATAGCTCTTTATTCAGAATTAACCTAAGTTGAAAAACATTTACGACCAGATCCTAACTGAGGGAATTCTGTAATGTAATTGCAGGTGAGTTCTGCTTCTGGTGATTTTGAGCCAGAGCAAAACAGCAGTCCACCATTTCAAAGCTTTGATTGTCTCCTCAGCTGATACCAGTTCTTGATAAAAACTGACAGGATTTGGCGAATATTTAAAAATGTGAAACTCCGGAAGCCGTACAGTAAGAAACTATTGTCTATATGTTACTGAGTATTGATTTACAAAGTTCCGTTACGGTATTTTTATGTTCTCCTAATTGTAATTCCTAGTTGACTTATTAATTGTTGTTGCTATATTTTTTACTATTCATAAATTACAGTCAATTAACCATATGCATGTCAACAAAATTTGTGAGTTTTAACGGTTATGTACATACTGAGATTTATGATTATTGATGACATATTATAGTCATGTATTTCACGCATATAATAATATGAATTTTCAAGTTTGAATAATACATTAGGATATAAAGTATTTGGCTGATCTTTCAAGTATTCTGATTGGTAGATTAGGAAAAGGTGAGTACAACATGCAGACTAGTAATCGTTTAAATAAACAGTAACTGTTTTAGTTTAGCTGGGTATAGACAGAAAAATCATCACATCACATCTTAAAATAGTAAAATTACGCTAAAATGAATATTATGTCTCAAGACTAATTAATGAATAGCAAAAATGCAAAGAAAAGTTAATCAATAATCAATCAGTTAAGATGCTGAGATATTTAAAACAGTTCTCGTTATTGACTAACAATAGCTGAAGAATTCTGATTCAGGAGCTGACTGTACACTGCTAAGGTGATTCAAGCTAAGACGAAATAGTTCCCCAATGTATGTCTGGCTTTTTTGTTTTCCTCTCCCCAGCTTATATACGTTCGCGACAAAATCTAAGCACAAAATTAAACTAATTTCCATAAAACTCGTAAGTGGTTTAGTTGAAATCTTTTATTTCGAACACACAGACCGATTTTTGCTTATATTCTACCTTAATTTATTATTTGTGTACACACAAACACGTACACTGGAATAATATAGATTTAAACTGACTATGGAATTAAATGCAACTACTCTAAACGTCACTTATCCAAAAAATGAATCACCATTATTCTGTTCTATGAAAAAATGAGCATCATAATTTTGATGGAAGCTTAAGTTAAAAACTTTGTATGAGTGAGTTCGTTGATAAATGAATTAAACATACGAAATAATTGAGATCGTCCTTAAAAATCTTATTTTAGTGCTAGAAAATAGTGTTTTTTTTGTGTTTACATCTTTACCGATATACTTTGATTTGATTAGTTGATAACCTTATTTATTATCCGACTATTAAATGTCATCTTAAACATGTAAATAAATATTGTCATATTTTACCAACTTTGATGCAACTCTTTATTTCATATCAAACAACTACCCATCGAAGTTAAGGAATTCACGGGTTTTTTTAAAAGAATTGTTCACGAATTGTTGTAAGCAATGTGAAGAGATTATGGCTGTTGTTATTACTGCTTCCCAAAGTCATTTGATTTTAAGAACTTCATCAAGAACACCTATCATATAAGTCGATAAAATACGATGCGAAGTTTCCAGTTTTTGATTTCCGATTTTTCCAATGTTTTGTTAATATTTCAAACTCTCTCTTGATCTTGTTACAGTTAATGATCGGTTAACATTACTCAAAAGTGAAAAGTAAGATGATAGTTGGAGGAAGTCAACGGGAGACCCTACATCTAGTTTTCAGGTTATTAGCCACCCGTCAAAAAGTTTTACCTGTAATCTTGTGAGAACTGTTGTTCCCCAGAGGATTTAATCTCGTGATATCGAGATTCACATTCATAGGCTAGCAAACAAATCTTTTCAGCTTGCTTATTAATACGTTTGTGAGCAGAGATTCAATTTTTTTTTGAAAAAAATAGTAGGCTATCATGATTTCTTTTAGACAAAAGCTATTCATTTTACCTGTAACTTTCAATTTTTCAAGTTCTATAGACTACCTAACTCATGGTTTCTTTAAAAATTCACTAAATATTAAAAATATTGAATCTATTAGTAATTATATATATTGAAATAATGTAACTATTAACCTAATCAACTTAACGAATTCATGTAATCATATTACTTTTCAGTATTTAAAGTAAAATATACGAAAAACAAGCTTTAAACCGTATTCTATCAATAAGTTGAAAGTAATCTAAGCTACTCTTCAATAATTACTGATCATTCTATTTATTCTACAAAGCTCAGAATTGAAAACAATAAATATACAAATAAAAAACATTTTCTTTTTTATATTTCATTTATTAATTTGTACTTTATTCACCTTTCCTTATTTTGTTCTTTAACAGTCAAGTCTTTCCCTTTTTCGTCTTCTTTTTCTCCATCGTTTTGTTGTCAAAATCACGGCTTAAATTTAATAAAGGCAACAATAAAGAAAAAAAAGCGAGAGAAATTCATACTCGACAGGTAAAAATAACGAAGAGCATTTCGTTTAGAATAACAAAATTCATATGGAACTGATTAAATCCCAACACGAGATGAGAAAACTCAATAATAAAAAAGAGAAATAGGGAACAAAAACTGGATAGACATATGCAGAAAATAGACATTTCGGTGTTTTTCTTTTTACTAGACAAAAAAACTAGTATCTTCCAGTATGTAAGATACTTTGAGGTCAACAAAATTATATCAAACAGAGACTAACAGACAATCAAGAATAATAATCATACTAAGTTATATTGGAAAATAAAAATGTCTTGTCTTTATTTATTCATAAAAATGCAATTGTATATTTTTTATATAAATGTAAGTTAGTGATTAAAAGCCACCAAGAACAATGTAGGCGTACAAGTACAAGGAGAGAATACTGTCAACTAACCACATATTTGACGATGATAAGAGCAACAAAATCAAATAAACACAATGAATCGTGAATGCGAAATAAGTTATTTGGTTTTATGAGATTAGGGAATAGTAGGTAATAAACACACAATAGTCAATGTGTAACTGATCAAACATGAAATGAATAATAGGTGATTATATAAACGTAAAAGATTCCAGGATCAATTAATAATTTTATACATTTAAAACCTTTCGCATTTATTTTAAAACAAATATACACACAGAAGAATAATCAAACGATAAATGTTAATTATCTATCTTCCTAATGATAAGAGTATATATATATGTGTGGACAGTCTTAGAGAAGACGTGTATACACAGGTGTATTAGAAATACATGGGAAAAGATCTTTAAAAAAATACATACTGACATGTTATTCAGGCAGAGAGTGCGGAGGAAGGGGGAGAAGAAGAAGAGAAAAGATCCAAACACGCGAAAACAATAGAAAGGTAAGAGGAACTGTATACAAAGATGAAAAAGGAACACACAATGCCGTAAACTATTAATTTAAGTGTTAACTATGAAACGGAGATGATAACGAGATCGAACAAAAAGTGAAGATAAATGACAAAACAAAAGACTGTTGGAGATATTGCTAGCCTTGTTGATATTTTTAATAATAATAATAACAACAATAAACATAATAGTAATCGTAATGGTTAGACCAAATTAGTATCCTAGATTAGCAAGATAAATGTCGACTTTAATGAGATAGAACAAATTCAGATAATTTGTTTCAATGTATTAATTAGGTATTAGATCATAAACAACCTCCTTACCATTTACACCATTGCAAGTAATTATAACAAGAATAATGTATAATAATATTAATAATGAATGGGTATTTTTTTTTATGACATAGTTAGTATCAGAGGACATTAAGACCAGAAAAAACTGTTTACTTATTTATTTATCTGTTTGATTCTCATAGAAAAATATACTATAATAACATTATCACCTCACACATGAATAGAACTGACCTTTACGCATGTAATTAATCCGTTTTAGGTAATTCAATCGATTGTGACGGAATAATTGTACTAACATTAGATAAAACTACTTAAGATGAACAAAAAACTTTATCTACATTTAAATCATAAATCCACGTACACACGAATATACATGAATATATGTTGTGTATAAATGTCATAAGAAAAATAAAAACAACCAACATAGTTGAAAGGAAAGAGTGAAGAAAATTTTTGTTTGTAGAAGTAGCAAAACATTTCAGCAAAAAGTAATAATAATAATAATAGTTAATGATGCAAACTTGCATCATTGTTTGTCTTATCCTTTTAGTGTTGCTATGTTAAAAAAGGTCAACCAAAATGATGGGGACAACTAACTCATGATCATCGCCATATATGTAGATGTTCGGTTTTAATACAACATAAAAAAGAATAATCATTAAAGTTATTGTATTTCAAAAGAGAATAGTATTTATAATCTCACTCCTTATCATGTAATTTTAAGAAGTATTAATGCAAATGAAAGGCTTTTTGGGATTGTGTGCACATGGAAGGAGGAGTACGTGGGTGGATGGAAGAGTCATTGACAAATTAGGGAATCCGATGTAGAATCTAGTGTTTCATGAGGTTGTGAGGAGGCAGCGGGAAAAGATGTCTGTAACAAAGTATAATATATGTAGAAAAATTTAATCATAATGTTATGAATAAAAGTTATATGGAAACAGCATCCTGAAATCAAACAATTATTTCTAAATACCGAGTTAAATAATGTATTCGGTAAAATATAAAAAATTACAAATAGTTTAATGTACAGCATACCTTGAAGGAAAAGACGGTTTCTCTAACAGACGTATAGAAATATGAAACTAAATGTTAACTCTCTGCTTACATCTTGAGTCTATTTATTGAGTGTAAAATGCAGTATGACTATTTAGTCAAGTAATATCATATTGATTTTGAACTTTACATAATGTTATAAATTATTCATCATTTGAAATTTAGGTTTGAATATAAGTTTCGTGATTACTAAAACTAATCAATAAAGAATACCATTGTCAATTTTTTTGTTTGTATTCTAAGGAACAGAAACCCAATATATCAGAATGATTAAAGTTCACAAAAATGCCTCCTTCTTTAATGAACTTCTGATAACTTTGATTTGGTGTGATTTCTGGTAAGTGTCTATGAAAGTTTCTCAGAACGCCTAGAAAAAACTGGTGTAGAGCATGAACGGTACGAATAGAAAAAAAACGTAAGGAAGTTAAAGTGATCTAATTATCAGTGCGAATGAAGCACTGTTACACCATGGTTAGATCAGTGAATAAATCCAAGACCTGCTATCTTAGATTGGATTTGGTTCGTCCACATATTATGGTCTCGTCAATACTTTTCATATAAAGTATAGCCATAGGTAAAAGATTTTTCGTGTATGGAGATCGTAAGAATATACTGACCGCTTTATATATATATATATATATATATATATCAATTTATTTCATTATATTGACCTAGAGCAATTGAAAGTAAACTGATAGTTTAATAAGAAAAATTTGGCAAAACTATGAAGCTAGCAAACAGCGGTTTTACTCAAACGTGGAGTGGCAAACTAGCGTCTCTAAAAAATTGAAAGAATAGGCAGTTGGAGTCCCTTGGTCAAGTGAGTGGAAGTCAAACTCAAAGATTCGAGGATTGGTAACAATAGTATCGTATCAATAACTAATAATTACAGTTATTATTTCGTACTTTTGTATGCTTTTGGCTAGTAGTTTCGTCAGGATTGGTTAACTTTGCAGAGAATAGTGCCTCTTCATCACTGAACCGGGACTGTATAGACTGATGAGCATGACTTTGATTGAAATGTAAGTCAGAATTATTTTGTTCTGTAGTTTGTTCATCCAAGATATGGCTTGTTGCTTTGGTGGAGGATACTGATGTAGAGGATGGAGTCAATGGGTTCAGGAAAGGTGTACCAACATTAGTTGCTGGTGAAACACTGGTTATTGATGATGTTCCTCCAACTAGTGCATTAGAATTCAATGTACTATGAGGCACAAAATTCGGATGCGCAGTACCAGACAGCAAAGCCGTTTGTAGTTGATCACATAAACGTTTGAACCGACGTGTTGGACCTATAAATTATTGAGAGTAGAAGGAGAGTAAAGAAGACAATAGTCAGACTCAAATAAATAAATAAATAAATAAATAAATATATATATATATATATATATATGTGAAGATAATCATGTGACCTTCAACTAGGTAGTCTGTACCTACCTATACGGCTCAGTCTAGTGATCAATGACTATACCAACCAACTCCAAACTCTTCTACACCATCAAACATCGAACTGGGTGACGGTTGAGGATATGTAATACAACAACCACCTCAGTCAATAAAGGTTCACAATCTTATCAGCCATTTTATCATTACTACCTAGAACAATGTGTCTCACTTCAACATAGCTCAGTTAGCAATCCCAACACTTTCCATACTAGCCCATCATAAGATGATAACAAAAATTTAATGCAATGATTAATCAATCTGATTAGTAAAATTAATCCTAGATTTAAAAACTTTTCTTGATGTTTAAATACTCTTCGGATAATAATGAAAAACCTGGAAATAGATATGCCCATACGTCTATTATTGATATGCATGTTGATAATATGTTGAACAGGGTTAATCCTTAAATAGTTTATATGAAATTGTTGAATTCTGTTATATTTCCGGAGGGATTTGAAGAAAAAAAACATTTTACACTAAAATATAAGATGAAAATACGAAATTTTCTTATATTTTTTTTTACCTGATAACAGTTGAAAATTGACTGCATACACTTCTCGTTCAGAAGAAATGGAATTTATATTATTCTGGTGTCCAGAACCTGTACTAATTCCACCAGTTGCACGTACCATATCCACTTGAAGTTTAACAGGTCGAGCAAGTAAACTTGATCCACTGCCTGCACGACGATATTCAGCTCGAAAACTTGTTGGTGAAATTACTGTGTGAACAACACCAGGTGTAGCTAGAAAAACCTTTATCAAATAAAAATGCAATCATAATGAATTACATAATACTAATTTGTTTATACGAACTGTACAGTTAAAATCTGATCAATGTCAAGATTTATTTTTGGATACAATTTATTCTCAAACAGAAAAAAATAACTTGAGTTCATGGCATTATGTATTTAACGGTTTTTCACTTTGTAGGCATGGTTGATATTATTTACATATTGAATTCCTAACAACAGAAATTTATTCCTACTGTAATTAGAAGCAGTGAAATTAGTTATTTGTTGTTGGTTAGAATAACATAACCAATAATAGCTCGAAAAAATAAGTTTTAAGTTTGAGACTAGTATTATTATGATTATTTAAATAGAAACCCTAAATTGAATGTGGCAAAATTACATCATAATAGATTTATACGAATCAAATGATTTAAGATTTTCTAAGAACAATTAGAAATCAACATTTCGATAACTCAAAAATCCATCACGACTTATTTGTGTAAATGTCTAAACCAACAAAATAGAGTAAAGTGGTTGAGGGTATGTGACTACTTCACTTATCTTGGAAGTGTCATCAGTCCTGGTGCATTTGTGTCTAATAAAATTTCAAAATGTATTCAGAAAGCTCGCTTGGCTTGTACCAATTTATTCCACTTAAGACGTAAAATAAATGCCCATCCGATAAAAAATGGCTATTATCCTGAGCAGTAGTTCACTCTATTTTACTTTATGGCTAAGGAAAGTGGTCTTTAAAAGTAGGGAATATTCGTAAGCGAATACTACTAGTAATATTATTATTACAATTTCTGTATTGGTTTAGATTTTGTCACTCGTCAGGAACAAAGTGTAGTCAGTACGAAACACACTCATCCATACAAAATATACTCTTCATAGCTAATATGGTGAGTTAATTGTAATATAGGTGTAAAAAAGACAAATTATTCCAGGGCTTAATTTTTTTTAAAGTTAAAATTAAGAAATATACGCAATGTAATAGATAAAAAACACAACTTTGATGTGTTCAGTACAATGAATGGTAGGTTTTTAATGATAGTGCGGTTGGTAATCAGTCAAATCACCGATGACATAGATACTATCAGTGACAGTAGTAAAAACGTGAAGTCTCACTAATAAAAAAATTCACCATTATTTATTTGATAGAAGTTAGTGAATAACCCAGGATATCTTACGTTAACATGAAGTACTTTTAAGATTATCTTCAACAGATTTATCAGGCGAGTAAATAACTTTTGTATTTGTCAGTTTACACAAACCTAGTTGAAGAGGAAATTAACAGTAAAAAACTAAAGTAAAACACATTACTGTTAATAATACCAAGTTGAGAAAAGATACTTATGAAGATCATACTACTTAAAATTAACTACTTATTTTGTAAAGACTCATATATACGTTGAACACAACTAAATTTTTTATGTCATAAAAACTGATAGCAAGTAATTTGTCACAAATCATTAGTATTTTTGGTTCATTTCAATAATTAATTTATTAGCTTCTCCAACTTAATAGTTTTACAAAAGGAAACATCACATGACAATAGTTCCATGATTATCAATGTAAGTATATATTAAGAGAGAGAGTTTGATGTCAGAGTTGAAATTTATCGTAAACAGAGAGAAAACTATGAAATGAGTGAACACAAACATTTGTTATTAAAGCGTATCATAATACATTTAAAAAATTAAGCAATATTTCTTACTTGTACAAGTTCTGCTTTAAGTCTGTTTAAAGCACGACCTTTAACCATAACAACATGATTTGTTTCCTCTGGTGGAGCATTTACACCTCCTGGAGTACTGCTATTATTTAGTGTCGTTGTGGTGGTAGTACTAGTGACAGAATTTGTTGATATTAATGGTTTCGGTCCACGTCTTTCAACTAGTTTATTATTTGAGAACGGGTCTGAAGAAGGATGTAACTGATTTGCATTGAACTGAATATCTGTCGTAGCGCTAAGATGATGCGATTGTTGATGTGTCTGATGATAATGAAGGTGATGATTATGAGGATGATAATGGTATTGGTGAGTTTTCGCTACACCGTCTGAAACACATGAATACGATGGTGATGAAGGTTGAGAAGTTGAATACTGTGAGTCTGTGTTATTATTATTGCTAGTAGTGGTAGTAGTATTTCCATCATAGACTATATTGGAATTTTTCCAATTCTCTACTAATTCATTACTGGATGTAACGTATTCCGATAATCTCGCTGAGTTCCCATCCTGTTCAAGGGGAAATTCATTTTGTTCATGTTCATGTTTACTTTGACCACATTCTTCTTTACACTTGGATTGAATAGAAATTGCTAGTGCTGCGGAATCTTGTGCCGCTGCGGCTGCATTCACTGCATGTTGACTGCCCTTAGTGATTACATGACCAGAGGCAGCTGTCAAGAAACCGTTGAACCATGATTTATGAGTTAATCTATAATTTAAAACGAAAATAAATACCAAAGAGAAATGAATACATATTTTACTTCGAATTCTATATTACCGGTGTGTTAATTATTATTCTTCATATTACATAAATAATTCATGGTTAAAAGTGGAGTAGTGAATAAGTGATTTATTGAAACAGAGATATATGAATTGGAATAAAGAATATTATTCTCATTTAATTCTATAGTTAGTTAATGCTACAAAGGTGATAGGTAAATTTAGCGCAAATAAATCTTTTGAAATTACAATAAATGAGTTTATGATTATTAGTAAAATGAAATAGAAAATAGTTTATGTTGAAATGACTAGTGTGTAGTGTTAACTGGAATTAGTTTATATGTCAATGGAAATTTTGAATTTTACTATTTTATAGCTCAGCAAAATAACCCATCGTTTCTAGTGTGCTTTTTTTGATTAAATAAATTTACATGATAGTTTCTCTGCATTTGTCCTGTGATTGAAATCTGTTCAATTGAATATAGAAGTTGAGAAACGGGATAGGGCACGTGTCCGTGAATTCGTAGCGCATCTACCTCTCAATGAATATTTAGTAATTTTTTGTTCACTTGGTGATTGAATGCTTCTTATAAGAGCATAATTATCAGTGATGTTTTCATTTCGAGCTCTAACTTTCATATTATCTATCTGCTTTTTACACTCGTTAAGTTGGGATGCACTACAGTAGCGTATTCAAAGATCACATATATAGTAGCATTAGACGGTCAAAAATGAACTTCTCAGGGAAAACTATTCCATTATATACAGCAACGACACACTAAATAAACGGTAAAATGCTCGACGTTTGAATTCTCAAATCAACGAAGAGCGTGAATGTATATTTGTAGAAGTAGCATTAACTACCAGAAACAATTTCAACTCGTTATTTGTAATGCATTATTATTTCAAGGATTATTATCTGTAACGTCCATATACATAACGCAGAAGCTTCAATGACGTTTTCTATGAGTAATATCACTGTGTATAATCTTTTTGCAATTTGTAAAACGCATTTTATAGCTATCCTGGTTAATGTAATCTCATAATTCAATCAAAAGATTGACCTACTTGAACTCGATGATTTGGTTGGTGTTTAATAATGTCTTTTCGTGAAAAATTACATATCTTATTACCACAAAAAATTGTGGATTAATTAAATATTTGTATACTCATTAATATTAATTAATGTGAACGATGAGACAGCCAGCAAATTTATTCATCAAAGTTGATGATTTTTTCGCTTAGCAATTCCACCCTATTGATTACAATAAATGTTTATGCAAACAATTTCTGACTCATCAGTTTGTATATTATAGGTTTAAAAGTATATAGGACGTTTCCAAGTTTTACCTAATAAATATGTGAACCGTTTTTTTTTACCAACATAAGCATACATAAAATAAAACAAAATATGAAACCAATCTTTTTATATACAGTAAGAATTATAGGGCTCTACGTCGTTCAGATTAACTAAATGACAATGTTTATTAATTTCACAATAAAACTGAATATATATATATATATATATATATATATATATATATATATATATGACATTTGAGTGTCAACTGTATGCGAATGTATATTTTTTATTTGCAGTTTAGGTAGCTCTGTAAAACATGGTTATATAATTAAATTATTATTTAAGTAATATACAGTAGTTATTGTTTAATCCAATTTTCATCTCAATATTCTTCATAAAATGCGGAAATGATGTTTATTTAACTGTTCATTAATCATTCAAGTTAGCGGTAGAACTAAATGAATTCTTCTATTGAGGTCACTTCTTTTCAATCTCTTGCGACATTATCTCTATTATTCATGTGAAATTGTGCGAAAAGTTGTTTGGTTTACTATATTGTGTACTATGAATCTAGTGATTTAAATAAAAAGTCTTAATACTGACCACTAGGAGACGATGATTTTATGTTCTGAAATTTAATAAAATTTTCAGAAAAAAAGTTTAAAAAATCTTCTCATTGTGTTAAAATCGATTTTTTGAACAATCAGTTATTTATACTATCCAATTATCTTACATATGTTCCGTTTGATCAATTTTTTAATATAGTTAGGATTGATAACTGACAAAATATCATATAATTTAGGTAATAGAAATGTTATTCACTTACAAAGGGGATGGTTCTAAACCAGATGCTCGTCCAGAGTTTCTCCACTGACTTTGTGTAAAAGAATTTGGACTACTCGGAGGTGTTTCACTCAATTGATCAGTTGTATGAATAAGAGATGATTTCTTCCGATGAAATCGTGGTGATCCTAAAAAGGACATTTTAAAATTATTTAATTTTACACGCCATGGTTGATGAGTTGTTCCAGATGTGGGACTTGTTGGTGGAGCATTAGATAAAATCGTATGAGATAATATTGGACTATTTGTAGTAGAAGCTGATGATGATGATGTTAATACAGGGCTTCCACAAGTTATACTATCCACAGTTTTCAAACCGTCTAAACGGGGTTTTCTAATCTCAGATTTAAGACGTGGATTTTCTAGAGTCGAATATTTAACAGTTTGTCCGTTTATATCTGATTGTACATTTGTTGTCCCATTAGTAGTATGTGTTTTTTCACGAGATATATTATTAACATTGAGATTGTTATTAGGTGAAGAAGTTGATCCTGATTTTTGACCAGATATAGGTGATTGAGCTGGAGATTGTCGTGATGGTACATCTTTTGAATTTTGATGTATTACAGTCTGTCTCGATTGAGATTTTAGAGGAGGAGATGATGAATGAGCTAATGAGTTGCATTTCTTTCGAATTGATTGAACACCACCACTTATTGGAGATGAAGGAGCTGTACTTGGTGAATTAGACGAGTGTATTTGGTCTAATAATGGAGAATTCAAATCTTTTTCATGTTCTTTGTGAATTGTTTTCACTGAATTTGAACTGTTTTGTACGTCGTTTATAGACTGTGTCTGCTAATCAATAGGAAAAAAATGTATCAAATTACTATTCAATAATAATAATAGTGAAATGCTTTTACTTAAATCATCAGTACAAAGTTAAAGCGATTAAATGAAATGTACTACAACCGAAATCTGTGTGTAATAAGGGTTTGAAACAAACGTATAAATAAGCAACTACTGAGTGTTGTGATGAAGACTGGAACAAGGAATCGGAAATATTTGACTCATTCCCTATCTAATCAAAAGGATTATTTTAGTTCAATAGGTAAAATCTGCAACATACGTAAAGAAACATAACCAATAAATAAGTATCATTTACCTTATTGAAACATATCAAAAATTTAGGAAAAATTATATAAATGGAAAAGTGAGTGTAATATTCAAAACTTTGTTTCAATACTTTAATATTTGTATTAAATTCTAAAATAAATAATACAAATTATTTCACTGCATTATGTGATAGTTATATGAATCTAAGTGATATAATATCCTCAAAGCTATACTCAATTCAATACTAAATACTTAAATGACATACATCTTTTGAAATTCACTTAAAAAGTACACATCACATTCTTAGGTGACCTTATGTACAAGTTATTTATTAAATTAATTTCTATTTTTTACCAGATTGTGTATATTTCTAATGAGTAAGAATAGATAAAGTCACTTTTTAGGTGTTTATTGAAAGGATTTATTATTTTCCGAAAAGACTTTCTATACGTTTCTATAAGTAATGAATGATGGTATTATTATTGTCAAAAGTGTATTAGTTATCACTTATAAAATGAAATGTATCACACTTAAAATAAATCGTCAGAAGAATTTATGTTGAGATCATTTAGTCCAATAAAAATGATCGCTCTATTGACAGTTATTGTCATACATCTATTTTAAAATACTAAAGATTCATATTATGAAAGTTAGAATAACACACATATAAGCGAACAATATTGTTTTCATTTGAATCCTCATTAGCTTTTACTCTGATATGAATATGAGAATATTTAAAACAGTTAAGGCAATTTATAAGTCAATGATCAAAATGAAATAGATTGTATAACTACATGTAATAAGTGAAAAGTACAAACTGATAGTAATTAGACAGGTGTACTAGTATAAAACACGATAATAGTCAGGAGGAATGCATTTATTGTAAGAAGCTACAAAGTACTCATATAATACATTATATATAGCCTTCAATCTTCCATTTGCATTTCCCAGTGTGTTCTGCCACCTAACCTGTATTCTCGTCTGCTCTCCAAGTGTTTCGCCAATACAGTGCTTTCAATGTGCTGAAGCTCTTCACTCCGTCTGACTATTGTGACAACTTCGACGTCACATTACGTCACGCACACTACTTACGATCTTGCGAGTGGCGTCCAATACACTAGTAGTAGTGTTGAAAATAATAAAATAGTCGAAGTTCTGGTCAATGGTTCAATATAGAAAGTAGGTTTAAATTAGATAAATAGACTTTAAAATAGAAATCACAAAACCTTAATACAATTAAGTAGAAAGTAAATAATTTGATAATAAAGAATATAAACGGCAAGAGGTGAAAAATATAAGACGAATACGAGATGTAAAGAAAAACAATAAAATCGTCTATTCAATCATATTCGGCTAAGGAATGGACATGGGTGTCACCAGTTTCTTCTGAATACATGAAGTGCTGTTATAAGTTCGGATACCTTTAGTTTCTCCTATACATAGAAGACGTAATGGAACCCCATTAAGAGATTATGAATATGCATGGTAGATCACTCGAAATGATTTATTTTTATCTACTATATGAACACTTTCAACCAGGTGTACCAAGATACAGTTCTACCTTGTGTATTGAATAAGAAATGATGGTTTTATTATATTACATTGATAGTAAACTTTTGATGTGAAACCAAGTGTAGAAATGTCATGCTTGGATTTGTATGTATCGAAAAAAGAGCAGGATTCCGAAAAGTGTACTAGACTTTTAATAATAAGCAAATGAATATGTTTATGAACTAGGAAAGCTTCATATGTGCGATTTTAAAAAATGAGCGAGATATCTGGATTATTTTCTCTAAGTAAAGCAAATAATTAATTCAATTAACTGAATTTTTACGAATTTCAAAGTAGAAAGAAGCTTTTCGAAAAAGTATCGATAATGAGAAAAAAATTCCAACAAATTATAAAACTGACAATGAAGACATAGAAACAAACACAAACTTTTAATTGAACAAAATAATTTCTATCATATTTTCTGTGTTTTATTTCTCTATATAAAACGCTTTCTTTTTTATTATTCAGTAGTTATATATATATGCACACAGAATAAAACACCGATTGTGCGGATGTGTACGTGGACGCATATTTGTCCGGTTATATAAGTGCTAAACAAAAAGAAGTCGTTAGCCGCTAGATCAAAACAAATAAGGATAATCTATGATTCTAGATTAGAAATTATTAGTGTTTACACTTTTTAACATCTTTGTTACAGTTGGGTTTTCAAATATGAATCAGTAATGTGAAGATATGAAGAAAAGCAGATAAACAAAGAACTGGATTTAGTAGCAAGGCATATATATATATATATATATATATATATATATATGGCTGTCTAGTTGGTGATCTGAATACGATACAAGAAATCGATACGATAATCAACCGTCCAGCCAACCAACTAAGTAAATATATTTCTACAAATAATTGATCTCCACACGTAGACGTATATTTTTCAGCTAGGTACACATATATGAGGTAGAAATAAATAAGATGGAAAGACAACATTTGTGCATTTATGCGTAAATCTGTCTATTTCTTTCGGTCTATAGATGGGTTGACGGTGTTGAAGTAAACTGAATGAATTAAAACATATTGGTTAGTACTCTATTTGTAATAATAATAATAATAATAATAATAATAATAATAATAATAGCGGTAATAAGCAGTTATTGTAATAATTTTGCCAACCTTAAAATAGAAAGTTAATTCAATCTACGAAAGAGTGAAAACATTCTTGTTGTACTCAATAGGTATTTCTAGTACAGAGTTTTAATACAAGGATGATGATGATGTGCTACAAATGTGTATGGGTCAAATTTGCCAAGAAACATTAATTCATTAGAATAGAATTGACAAGACAAATAGTGAATAAGTCAAAATCATATTAGTATTAATTGTAGTAAGAGGAATTTAACATAGGGAATATTCACGAAGAAGGAATGGGATTAAAGAATAAAGAATATTAAAATTTGAAATCTAATGTAAGATAAGAACGAAACTGATTATATCTGTCCTAATACAAATGATGTTGAGCCATATCAAGTGGATTCAATATGTATAATCGGATTACTTTGTCATCAGTAATTTGGATTTAAAAATCCAGTCAACTGTATAACCATTGTCTTACACAATACATCTTATTTGGTAAATGAGAATCGTTTGTGATGTACTACTAGCATGTAACCGAGTATAAAAACAACCATTGATAAATGATTTTACAGGTGATTAGAATATTTTTCTCTATAATATACTTGTTATTATTTGATTGTTGTAATGATGTCTATTTATCCTTACTAAAATATATCTGGTTCGTGATTTACAATAAACTGAAGATGAGGCTGTTCCGGTATTCATTGGTTATTATTAATCTATTACTAATATCTGTCATGCATATAAATAAGCTTGTGGTGTTATTGACTCCTCTAAGACATATGATTTCATTGTGAAACTTTCATTGTACCGTTGAAAACCAACCTTATACCCTGTTTCATGTAGAAGTGAGCTTCTTAGTAAAGTGACATGCATTATATTACTTTGCTCTCGTGGCGTTGTTTTCTGTATGGTTTTCTTTGTCGGTTCCATTATTTTCAATTTGTCTGTATATTCAAGTTGACTGTGTTGTTTAAATTAATCCCTGACCATTTGGTTGATTTGACTTCTCGCATAGGTCAATATAATATCTCGATGTGTATTTTGACTGCCAATTGGTTTGTCAAGGGCCTGGAAATTGATAAGTATTCTTAGAATTCCCTCAATCCAGAATTTCGACGTTTCCCCAATATATTTAATGTTCGTAATTGTCCATATCATTACATCGATAGTTCTCGTTCGCTTATGTGTACGCAAACAGTGGCCACTGTGAAAGCTAACACAGAAAACTAATTTAAAGCTTATAGAATAATTAGGAAGTTCAACTCTACACACATCAAGTATTAATATTGTTCAGAACAACAATGAAAGTTCCATAATAAGACGACATAACTTAAAATGTTCAATATCTGGAAAAGCATCCACTTGAGCTGTAAATCTTAGCGTTGTCTACCAGTTTATTGCGATATTGAAAGAAATAATATAGTATTATTTATACTTATCGTGTGCCTATCATCACGAAAACTGTATGAGGAATATAATCCTGAAAAGTGAAGCGGAGAGTAAATATAAAGAAACAAATTCATCTACTATTGACAGGAATATAGATTATTACAAGGCAAGGATTGGCAAAGTACGGGCAGCATTCCTACAGTTGAAGAGCATATGAAACTCAACGCAACTGTCAACCACTATCAAAGAATATTTATTAGCAACGTAAAGACAGTTCTAATGTATGGATCTGAAACTTGGAGAACTACCACAGCCATTATCAAAAATGTACACGTATTTATAAACAGTTGTCTATGCAAGATACTCAATGACCGATGACCATATTATCAGCAACAGCCTACTGTGGGAGTGAACAAACCAGGTTCCAGCTGAAGAGAAAATTAGGAAAAGATGATGGAAGTGGATAGGACGTACGTTGAAGAAATCATCAAACTGCATCAAGAGGCAAGAGCTAACTTGAAATCCTGAAGGGAAACGTAAAAGAGCGAGACCAAAGAAAAGACATCAAAAGGATAAACAGTAACTGGAAAGGATTTTCGAGGACAGAGTTGGATGGAGAATGCTGATGGGTGGTTTATGCTCCTCCATGAAGGTTAACAGAGGTAAGTAAGTAAGTTATCGTGGTTCATACGATTATTATTAATGATATTATTGTTATTGTTATTTATAACTATGTTAAATAATAATCAAATAACATAATGCTTATAAGAAAAAACATAATAATAAGTTAACTTACTTTATTTAAGTGGTTTTCTATTGATTGTTTATCGGCTGACATCAATAGACTTTCAGTGTTTTGACCAATATCACTGTTTTGATTATGATTCGCTGTTATCGTTGTCGTATTTACTATCGTTGTTGCTGTTGTCGTTGTCGTATTAGTGGTAACTCCTGTATTCATTATTTTATTCGATTGTATAAATATGGTGGAATTGGTTAAGATTGAATTAGATTCTGTAGTTACAATCGAAGATGTAGAACATGAAGGAATTAAACATGACGATGAAGATGTTGATGAAACAACGTTAGGATTTACTGATGGTGGATGATTGATTTGATCAAAAATTGATGAAACTTCAGTGAGCACCGGTAACAGTCCAATACTGTTATTATAATTACTTGTCGTAGGTGTTGTTGTGGATAAAGAAGGTATAGTCACACCAGGGCCAGATGGAGCCGGTAGCATAGAACCATTATTATTATTACCACTTGCAAACGGTGGCATAAAATAGGGTCCAGGTGTAAATGAATGTGGATGAAGATGAGGAAGTAGATGATGGAATGGTGGTGGTACAAAATGAGGTGGTGGAGCTAAAGTTGTTGCAACAGGAATAGGAGTCATTGACGGGTGAAGAAAATGTTGTGGTCTATGACCAATATGTGGAATGCTTCCAAAATAGTAAATATTAAGATTTGGATGTTGTTGTAATTGCGGTATATGGGATTGTTGGGTACCACTAATTGAAGAGTTAGAAGTAATTCCATGAATTGGAAGATTCGATGATATATTAGTGGTACTTGTTGACACATGGTTTGTTGAAATATTACTGGTTAAACTACAGTTATCCGTTGATGTAATTGCTACTGTGTTAGATCTTGATTCAGTTGTATTTGTAGAAGATACTGTAGATGTAGTTTGTGATCTAGCTGATGGTGGGACTGATATAGATACTTGTACAGGATGTGAGTTTTCCAAGTTTTCACATCCTACTGGTCTGTAATGAACACGTTGAAGGGAAAGTGGTGAACCTAATGGGCTAACAGCAGGCGTACTAGATTGACTATCTAATCCACTGGAAAATGATTTCTTTCGTCTAGATGAATGTACAATCGAAAGAAAAAAACAAATTTAATTAACTATTACAAATGACCAATCAAACAATAATCAAAAAAACTTTCTTTAAAGAAGGCATATAATAAACTTACAGAAAAATTTGAAATAAATTTATACGGAGAATGTCGTTAATAATAAATGATAATAAACAAATAGACGTTCTGTTTCATAAAATTTGGTTTAGTACATCATATTGTTCAATGGATCAACTAACTAGTTAATAGGTTTGTTTTCTTTTCGATTAATTTATTGTTTTTCCTATAAGGTACCAGATTATCAAGATTTAATTTAAATAGATTTACTAATCACGATAGAATCTATTATTATTTATAATAATTCTGAAGTGACATTCTTTGTTAAAGATGTAAATAATATCAACAATAAGAGTAAGAAAACATTTTGTGTGATAAAAAGAAGTTTAACTTTGTGTCGCGGGCAAAAACAACTGGTAAGGATTTCCCAGGATAGAGTTCTATGGAGAATACCGGTAGGTGGCCTATATTCTAGCACAAGGGGTAACAAGAATAAGTAAGTCTCAGGCAAGAAAACAAATTTTCATGAAAACAACAGATACGAAAAGAGAATTCCGAACACGTGAACGTTATTTTCTGTCTGTAAAATTATTAATACACTTCTTATTCATGAACTTTATAATTTCAGACTTTATCACTGTTATGGAAGCTTTGTTTATTAGTAGTATCTAACACCAATCAAAAGTTGAATGGCTGGTATCAGAAGGCTAAGAAGATGGAATTGAAGAAGACATGAACAGAGATTAATTGTTATTGCGATGAAGAAACAATGAAGTTTGAGAAAATTGATAGAGGATTTGCAAATGAAGTATAGAACGTATGATTCTTACATTTCACCAAAAAGCTCTGTAATTTTGTATTTATATACAATTAGTTGTCCTCACTTGAGTTCTCGTTCATTATAGTAGTGTGCATTTAGTAAAATTGTAAAACTTATTTGAAGTTAAAGTTCATTTTCCTCACGAACTGGTATTCGATAAGGGACTATTAAAATTCAAAGAGCAATCAATAAATATGAGGTTTATCAGCAATATACACCTACTGTGGTGTGTGCTACTGATGTCGATAAAAGTAAGTAGTATGTATCACCAATGGAAAGTGAAATGCCTGGAAGCAGAAGGTTAAGAAGATTGAAGAAAAGAGAACGAGAACAGAGAATGATTGCTGTGGAAATGAAGGCACAATCAAATCTGAGACAACTGACTGATAGTTTGCAACTGAAGAATTTGCTGTATGGTTCTCAGATTTTACTAAGAGAATCTGTAATTTTGTGTTCATATACATTTGATTGTCCACATTTCTGTTCTCGTTCACTACACTACGACTCCATTCGGACTTGGACTCAGTATCTTTAGCTCTTCTGACCAATGAGTCGGCATTTTCAATGGACCACATTTCAAATATAGTGTGGGATTATCCACAAAACCCACTTTCTGATGATAATAATAATTATGTGCGCACTAGTGACTGGCTTCATGATTTTTTTACTGGAGTTCTAGTAAGAAGCCGTGACCAGTGGAGTTCAACCGTGTCTGTTGTGAGGCAGTGACTCGCTGAAGATGGTGGTGGACAGTGTCAGGATTTCACGTAGTGGTTTAAGTTAAACATTAACACCGTTGGATTCCGGCTCAGTGGTCTAGAGGTTAGGCGTTCATGTGCGACATTGAAGTTCCTGGGTTCGAATCCCTTTGGTGCGCCATCGTGGATGCGCATTGCTGAGAAGTCCCATTCTAGGATGAAACGGCCGTCAAGTGCTTTCAAGTTTCCCATGGAGGCCTAGTTTTAATCGACTCATGAATTTAACTATTAAAATACTTTGCTGTTAAATGGGTATTTGTTTTAAGTTTATGGAGTAACGTAATTGACCTCATGAAATAGCATTTAACAATTAATTAAAAGGTTAGCATCATAATAAGAAATTGAAGAATAAGTGTTCAGCGAAAGGTCAAACACTATATTAGTGGAAATATAATAATTCTAAGAAATTTATTTTATAATCTCACTCTCTATTCCATTCATCTATACATAGACATAATTAAGGTCAAGCATTTATACAGTTTTTATCTTACAGCCACAATAATTTGTAAAATGTATGTTTAGAAAAAAAACACTCAGCAAAATGTGATTCTGACTGAAAAGGCATATCAATTGAAATTGTTACAAGAAATGGTCTTTGGTTAGAAATAGTATTTTAATATCTGGTGATTACTGAGTCTGGATAACCATTTGAAAATATTGATGAAATAAAACAGAACAATAATTATTATCGAAATTTAAGAATGGAACAAGGTAGTAAATTATAAGTTGAAAATTAGAATGTAACAAGAGGAAGTGTTTATTGAACAAATTCTTTGTTTTGTTTTTTATACATAACTTAAAATTCTTCATATTAATTCTTAAATGACATTTCAGTTATACAGAAATAAAGATCAAACGCATATAGTTTATCTAATCGATAACTTTGACGGAGATATTAGATTAATAATGTTATTTTCTAACTAAGCATAAATTGCGTTTCGGGATATTAATATAATACAATTGATATACATGGTTCTCAAACAGTATTATTCAACTGTTCACTAAGAGAATAATTAAACACTGAGAACAAAATGAACTAACACTTAGTATTGTAATTCATGTCATTCTGTTGAGAAAAGGAAAATTGTTAACAACAAATTTCGAATGTTATCACTTATAATACAACAATTAAAGGTCAAAATAACTGTATAGTTTGTAAAAAGAAGTAAAGCTTATCGATAATAATTTTTTGCTTTAACATTGTTTATCTTGAAAAAATTTCGAACATCAAGATCACTTTAGTCTTTAATTATCTACCATTTATAAATTGATCTCTTCATTAAACCTTTTGTTCATTCCTCAATAAATAATCCAGGATCAATATTATTAATGTAAACAATATATAAATTCTTAATAATAATAATAATAATAATAAAGTAACATGAATAACTAATTCTGAAAATTATTTATGGATTCATTCGTTATTTAGTTTATTATATATATTTAATTATGTTGTGTTGTTCCACAGTAACAAATGAACATCTCTGTATTTTGTTCGTTCAATTCAAATTGTCATCTATAGATTGTGTTAAGGATACAAATAAAATCTTGTATTGTCTTTTATATACACAAAAAAGAAGAAGAGGAAGAAACAGGAATTTACATGGAAGTCAAAACAAAACAAAAATTTCACTACATGTAAAGTATGCAAGAAATAATACTTTGCCGAAAATAGGTTATAAGCAGAGATAAAAGATGGTTAGCAGTCGAACCCGGGATTTGCGTTTTGTCCCATTTAGAACTCGCCAGCTGGACGTACCAGAGCTGATGGTCACTCCGGAACTCGAACCTGGTACCGTTCGCTTCAAACACCATTGCGTTATTCGCTCAGCTACTGAGTTACCAGCTAGCATCCAACTCTGCTTATAATGCTTGTGACTTTAGGTAATGTCGAGGCAATCCGCACAGGATGCACATATACCAATAAGAGACTAATCAATCGCAATCCTAAACGTCGATGAGAAGATTCAAACAAACAATACAAAAATGAACAAAAATAAGTTGTTTAATTTCTTCATTTTTAAACCGGTAAAGTTTTCTTTCTTTCCTGGCTTTGTTCTGAACAATATCATCGGCTCGTACTTCAAAGAGAAATAAGGTATTATAATTTCTCCACAATTGTCTAGCAAGCTAAATCAGACATCACAACACCTATATATATGTAAATATATAATATTCAGGATTGGTATTGGTCAACTACTATTAATATATTTATCCATGTTAAATGGGTACAGTGATAAAGTTTTTTGATTACAAGTTTTTATTTATACATTTGTACTGTGATTAGTAGTGGAATCCAAAGCACATATTTTATTTAATTAGCGACGACGATATACTCAACTGCTAAGTCTCAAATAGGATGAACCTCACGTTCTAGAATTCAATACTAGACATTTATTCTAAATATTCAATACAAAAAAAGGTGAGTCTGATTTATAGGTATTAGTGTTGATAAAATCTTATCAAGTTGAATTAAAATATGGGGTATCTCATTTGAATATTGAATTCTAATTATTTGGATGACTGTTTTTAATTCGGTCAAACATATAGAACTACTTGGGTAGAGAATAGGTTTTAATCAGTTATCTGACTGCTGTTTAAAAATGAATGAATCATTAGAAATCCTAAAAAATGAACTGTTAGTAGATATGCTAGAATTTATCAGATTAACTTATTAATCTATTCATCAATATACATTTCGTTAATCATCAATGACAGCTAGCCAGATTTATACTTTTACTTAGCATATAATTTCTTGATAGAGGGAAGTTATATGAATTTATTGAGTTTTAGACACCTTATCTTTGATTTTGTTGTTTATAACCAAGAAATAGTATCATAATGAATAACAGTCGTATTACTAAACTTTCAATATAAAACTATTAACACGATAACAGACCGCCTTTTCAGCGCAAACCACTCAAATTAGTATGAACATGAACAATCCAATCTATAGCAAAAAAAGAAAATTATAATCCTTAAAGTGAAAATACACCAAAAATGCTTAATTTTCTGTTTTTATAAAGCAAAAATGAAGAAAACTTATAATTGTATTACTTCTTATGTGCCCAACTAGTCTGTCAGTCTGTATAATCACGTGATTATGTGGGCAGATGCATCTTTGTCTACTTGTTTATTTGAATATTGCATAGTGTGAAAAATAAATCCACCATTAACGAAAGCTGATACAGCGTATTTTTATTGATCACGTATTAGTTCAGGGAACATGTGGTGTATTTGTATGTGTGTATGTATGAGAGAGAGAGAGAGGATACAATTTATGCCAAAGTTTGAAGAGAAGGCGAAATCATGAACAGAGAAGTAAATTAGCACAAAAAATGTCTAAACGAAACAATTTTTATGGACAAGGAAAAGAAAAAGGAGCGGCCAATTTAGGTTGTGATATATTAATCAGGTTATTTATGAATAATATAATATAATATAATATAATATAATATAATATAATATATATATATATATATATATATATATATATATATATATATATATATATAATGCAGTAAGTACCCATACATACTTCAAATGAGATAAGCACAACTGATTTTGCCATCATAATCATGAGCATCAACATTAAATTAGGCATAAACACTCGAAACATTTTATTAATGATACTGATATGCGTTGGATGAAAGAAAATCCATATTCAAGGATGTCACATGTACACAATATCAATTATTATGATAGCAAGTATAATAAAGATATTAATAACAGTAGACAAAAAAGATGCAGTAGTCCAGACAGCTACAACTACAAGTTTTATAAATAAACAAACGAAACATAAACATTTACAGGAAGAAGGAAGTGAAACCTGGCAAGTACAAAATAATCATAAAAAAGTGTGAAGTTTAAGTAAAAGCTTAGATTTATTTGTTGAAAGGTAGAGAAATATAAGACTTTATAGCATTAGAAAACCAACTGATAAAGTGATAAACATTATACCACAAAAAAGAGATTTCATTCTTTCTTTCTATTTTTAAAAAAAATTTCATCAAAGCAACCACCATTGGGTTTTGCTTATACATACAAATATGGAAATATATATATTCATTTTTATGTTACCATTTTTCTATTATACCATAATATGTGTTCAAGTTGAATTAGAATATGGGAAAATTGCATAGTATTGACTATTCATGATTTCATTTATTTAATTTGTATATTTTAATGAATGAATTCATAGGTACCGAGTTCGATTAATTATCTTACATAATGGGTTATAGAAAAAAAATCAAGTACAAATCGATTGTTTGAAGTACACAGGACTAAAACTGGGAATATACTACTGTTATTACTACTAAGCTAACAAGTTTTGTTATCAGTATGGAGTTGTGTGAAGATTTTAGAACTTTATATCACGTACTGATCTTAGTAAAACTAACATCAAAAACTAGTAAGCACTGGAAAAGTTTCATCCCAGTATAAAACTTCTAACCCGTGTGCATCCACATCGCCATAGAAAATAGAGCCCAGGACCTTCGTTTGACTTCTAAATCATTGAGCCGTCACCTAACGGTCTTAATGTCTAACTCCAAAGTGGCAAGCTATGGTTATATCTTATGGTTAGTTAATTTAACCAAGAGTTCAATTTATAACTAAGTGTGTGACTCGTTTTATAACAAATTCTATATTTCACACCACAGAGATGTCATACAATAATTGAATCAAAATCTAATAGCTACACACTTGTACTGCTTATTTAAAAATAAGCATGGAAGAAAACCTAACGATAAGCTTAAAAATATTTCCACTTCTCTATGTGTCATTCATAATCCTAAATTAATAAAAGTATAAATTAAAGAAAAAAAAGGAAATAAAATATGCAAAACACTTCCCAATTAAGAAACGTCTATCAGTATTTACTTCGTAATTTTTAACAGATTTATTTAAACTAATGAAAGAAATCATATTTCATGTAACAATGTATAATATCAAACAGAAAAATGATCCTCAGAGTTCAATTAGTTCATAAAAAAATTCATTAATCATTATAAATTGACTTCAATATAAATCCTAATTAGATTATTTATAAGAAAAAGAACAAAAAACATACTAATATAAAATTGTAATCAAACTCACAATTTTTGTACAGCCAAACCACGACGACCAGATAATGGAGAACCTTCACTTAGATTTCCAAGTGATAAACGTGATGAACCATTTAATGTTAGTTTTAAACTATCTATTCTTTTACGAGGTGGATCAGCTATAATTAATAAAAGAAAAACAAACAAATCCAGCGGAAGAAATGAATAACTAATGGTTGCTGAAACAATAGAATTATAAAATTTAATAGTAATCATGTAGCTTAATTAGATTTAAACTTTGTTTACTAAAATACAGGCAATAATAGTGATCTATACATGAAATAGGCGCATACTTCAGTTGATATTTAGTAAGATCATAAAAGACACAACAACTAATAGACTCAATAGTGACTAAAACGACCATCTCGATTTTAGAAAATACTAAGTAGAAATAACGAATTCAATAACTCGCCTCAGAAAATACTATTCTAAATTTGAAAAATTCATATATACATATACTCTAAAATGATAGCTAATGTCCATAAACCCAATGGACATTATTAATTTTGAATATCAATCGTAAACAGAGTCAAATAATTTTATTCATCGCATTCAAAACTTAACTCCCACATGTGTAACCATAAAATCAAAACAAATACATTAAAATATTTTCGAGTGAATGAACGAAATAATTCATAAAATGTCCATACTCAGAAGAAAAAAGGAAATGAGTGAAACGAAATACTTATAGTGTAACTGACAGAGAAAAGTGAGTAGTTTAGTAGTCTGATAAGTATATATGAAAAAAACATAACAAAAGTAAAACCTCAACGATATACCACTTAATTTACAGGTTTATCGATAGGCATTTTGTTCATATCAGTTTATAAGGTAACTAGTACAAGCACTAAGTACTGAAGTATGTCAATTAAATACCAATCACTTAATCTACCCTATTAATGATAATGAAATAATTTCAATAGTTGAAAACATAAGTCAATTGAAGCTAGATCACCATGGAAAACCTGGAAGCACTGGACGGCCGTTTCGTCCTATTGTGGAACTCCTCAGCAGTACTTCCAGGTTTTCCATTGTGGTCTAGTTTCAATTGACTCATGATCTCAACTATTAAATCTACTATAATATCCACAAAAACCTCTTCTGAAAATGATATAAGATAAATCCTGTCCACAAGTAATAATAATAATTATTATCCAAGGAAATAAGGAGCAAATAAAAATTCAGGATTAAATCTAGTGGGAATTTTAACATGAGAAAATAAGATTCAAGTGTTTAAAAGAGCATCAATATTCACTCTGATAGGAAAACATAAGTGATGGATTTACGATCCTATTATTGCCTATTCCGAAAAGCATATAAATGGATTATATAATTGCGTCATTTACAAGGTCGCCAATGAAAAAGGTCTAATTCATAATCTGTATACATAATATTGTCTACAGCACAGGTATTTATCCATCTGAAACCATATTTTCTAGAGCCTTGAGATATATGTTTATATCATAGGTCCCAGGCAAAACATGTCAAAATACAACTCTATTTATGAAAATATCAAGTCCCAAAAATGAAGCTGAATGAATATGTTATTGTTTTAGGTGACTGATGAGAAAACGTACACGCTTTTTACGGCTAAAAATCCTTAACTTTCAGAGATCACAGAGAATTCTGAAGTGAAATATTAAAATTTAAAATAAAGATTTTTATAATATTGATTTGCTATTTCACTCATCCTCCATGTAGAGTGTAAAGCACAGTTTGAGTGAGAAGGTTAATGATACTAGGGAGTTGCTTGAGATGAAATGAGTGTAGCAGGGTTCGTATCCGGAATTCAGTCGGTGAGAGTCGAATCCTACCGCTTCAAGTTATTTCCCATGACAGGATTCGATACCGGTTATTATTTACTTGTCAAATTAGCATCTAATAATGATAATAATACCTAACACTTTCTTATATATCGTCGTATTCTTAGGACAGATTCGAAAGCAATCATGAATGATTAGAAGATAGCTATTCTCTAAAATAAGAGGAAGAATCTACGGATTATGTATAACATAGAATGATTAATGAATAGATTACAGAGATAAACTAAAGAATAAAATAAATTGAGTAAACAAATGCTTTGAACAATTTGTTAGACAAAAAATAATGGAATAGTAATATGTCAGTGAACAAAATTCGACAAAACCTTCTAACTGATAAACAGTGAGTGCAGACTTGAACCTTGTTATGAGCTATAAAAGCCTTGGATGAGACTATGAAATACCCAGGAAATGAATTCAAAAGTAGCATTACACAAGATGTTAGCGCATGCATTTCAGCATATTTCTTCAGATATTACATTTTCTCTTGGAAGGATGTACAGTAAACGATAGTAAATATTTTTGATAAAAATAAACAAGCAATCCGTTACAGAAACTAAAATAATCAAGTCAAAATAGTCAACTGACAAAACCAGGAATAAAAAATTACTGGAAAGAACATTATTAAAATAATTAGTGGAAAAGTGTAGTATTGTAATCTTAACATTAATAACACATACACAGTAGGGAAAGGACAATAGTATATGGTTACCTTTTGCAGAACCTAGGCTTTCTATACGAGTCACAAAATAATCATTATTTGAGTTTAAAGCATTGTGATGAATCGACACATAATCAATGACAGGTGAAATACACCAAAATTGGAGAGAAGACAATTGACATTGAACAGTGGAGTAGAAGCATGACGATAAGAAGTAAACACGTATGCCGATGTGATTTTATGTCAACATCACCATCATCATTAGTAATGGGTAGAGAGGTGATACAGCCGAACGATGATCAAAACATCGAATGATTATTAGATTGTAATGCATGATTTTTTTATTGGCAAATTAATTTGTTTGTCAATTTCATTGTGAAATACAAAAAAAAGAACACAGAGAAAGTAAAAAGTTAACGAGCAACAAGCAAATACATGGAATTACGATTCATCTTGAAAATAAAAATGAAACTCAACAAAAATAAATTATCAAATAAACGATAAACAATGCACCATGTTCTTTCTAATTAAGCATACTTAACAAATGAACAAACTACCAATAACATTATGGAATTAATATACAAAACACAATAAAAATGTTATATGCATATTATCGAATCCACTCAATGGTTCAAAACATGATTAATTTAATGAAGGAACATAATATAAAACTTTTTTAAAAAAGCAAGTTATAATGATAAATACAATAGTCAGTCAGTCAAGCAGTCATATCCGATGTGAAAGCCGTCTTATATATACATGTATATCAGTTCACATTGTTACTTACACATTAGCAAAGTAAAATACCAGAATAGTACAAGACAAATTTTCAATAGATTTACAGAAACAAGATAATAAAAAAAACAACAATAGACAGAAATAAAACAAAGTCTCATTATCACATAAGTGCATGCAATTTAATTTGATGTATTATGCACAAATGTTGAATAATTTATCATTCTGTTGTTATATTTTCAATTGGACAGATAATACAGCCAAATGATTGACAGAGGAAAGTAGAATCTAACTGAAATATACCCAAAAACAACTAAACAACTAATAAATTGTGAAATTAACATATTTCATACTGTTTTTATTATTATTATTTCCATTTCTTGATTTTCAATGAAAATCAATCTATAATAGGGATATACAAGTTGGATTTACTTACGCAACAGACTAAAATTTAACCATAAATTATTTGTATAATGTTCAGTATATACTAAAAAAAACAATTTTATTGACTGATTAAAACATGATTAATTGTGATTAGTATGGTAATAGTGATGAAATGATCACTTAGTAGGAAGGAGAAATACAAATATAGACAACTTTAAGTTATAAAAAAATAAATGAATAAATCACGATTCAAATTGTGCGAAAGAAAAAGGTGAGATTTGTTTAAGATAACAATTAAGTTTGTACTTTTAATATAATGAAAATAAAATACTAGAAATGAATAAACATGATTATGTAATAAGAGCATTTTACAGTGGATAATCTAGTATTTTTAAAAAATCCCTGTAAATTAATGGGAAAATCAAAACAATATGGACGTATAAATGCCATAAAAGGCTGATCGATTAGTCTTTAAGATCGGCAATGTTAATATTTAAAAGCAACGTTTCCAAATTAGTTAAAATTTAACTTTTGTACAAGCCAGTGACTATTTGGATTCACTAGCTAACTAGGTAACGCATTAGGCGTTCAAGACGAAAGATAATGGCTTTGAGTTTCGGTGAAAATATCAACACGGAGGTAGATGTACGTTTAACTGAGGAGTTCCAAACAGCACAAATCGCACGTCCTGTATTCGTGTTAGCTAATATTCAACTCCGCTTACAAACAATTGTGATTTAATGGTAATATCGAATCAAGATCCATTGCAGTCCTTAACAACAACAACGAAAAGATTCACACGTTTGCAAACGAAATATAAAAAAACACACTTAAAACATTGATAGTAATTGAAAAGCGATTTTGCTTTATATACTTGGCTCTAACCGACGACTATTTCTGTGACAGCTCTTGATGTTGACCAGCTTTGTAAACCGAAGAGACTCATGGTTTAAAACTAAAACCTATTACTTATATGTGAAGAGTTGTTAAAATTCATGTACCATTTACTGGATGAATATTTATTGCACTATTTGAAGTTTTTAATGAGTAAAATGCATAAAGTGAAATAACGACAGGATTGAACTGCACAATCACGCATCTATTTAAAATTTTGAGAATTCTGTGGGGAAATATAAACAATGAATAAACATAACGTGATAGACTTTTACCCTATATCGCTTAGTATTGTAATCCTTCTGGTTACATCAACATCTATGTTTCATGTTTTCTAGTGTTTGAATGAAAATCATAAATCTATTGGTTAATCAGTTTTCATGAACGCATAGTTTAGCACAGGTATGTGTTAACCAAGTTATCATATCACATTAATACAGTGAAATGAAATTAACAAGATGAATTACACAAAGGATGAAAGCAATTCAGTATCGTAAATAATAAGAACCATTGAATATTGAGAATATACTTCAAAAAAACAGAGTGGAAAGATATTTATAAAGGAATAATAGGATTCAAGATCGAGAGGAAGGTAAAGAGTGAATGGACCTGTGATATTTTGGAC